ATGATTAAAGTATATGAAGCAAAAATTAATAGAACTACAAAGAAAAAGAAGGGATAGGTATATAGCTCAATGGTAGAGTGCTTGTCAAGCATGCATGAGGTGCTGGGTTTAATCCCTCATACCAGGAAGAAGAAAGAAACAGACAGAGAGAAAGGAAAAGGGGAGAAAGAAAGTGAGGAAATAAATCTCCTTTCAATAGATAGGTTAGTAACGTTCCTTTCCCAGTAAATTGATGGAGCAAGCAAACAACATATTGGAAAGGATATGAATGATTTGTATAACAGAGTTAGCCAACTTGACCTAATTGGCATATTTAAAATGCTACACCCAACAGCTGTGCAGCTTTTTTGTTTTGTTTTTTAAGCTAGGGTCTCACTACGTAGTTCAGCCTGGCCTAGAACTCACGGCAATCCTCCTACTTCGATTACAGGCATGTACCACCATGCTCGCCCCTCAGTATTCTTCTTTATACATGGAACATAAGATAAATCTGGAAAGAAATAACTGAAGGCTCTTTTTTATTTTGTTTTTTGGGTACCAGGAATCAAACTTAGGACCTTATGCTTGCCAGGCAGGTGCTGTGCACTGAGCTATATCCCAGGCCTTCTCTTTATTGTTTTTAATTTGAACTGAGACTAGGAAACAGGGAAGACCTCACAGTACCTCCATAGGAATGTCTTACTGAATAGGAAACTCTAATAATGTCATGCTTCGCTGGACTTGATGGCTCACACCTGTAATCCCAGCACTCTGGAGGCTGATGCAGGAGGATAGTGGTGAATTCAAGGCCATCTTGGCCTACAGAGTGAGTTCTAGGCCAGCCTGAACTGCATAATGAAACCCTGTCTCAAAAAGACAAAAAAAAAAAGTGATGCTTGTCTAGTTTATTTTTCCTCAACAAAGAATCATGTTACAGCTAAAAAATGCCTGCACTACAGGGTGTTTGTTTGGTTTGTTTGAAGTACTGGAGTTGAACTCAAGGCTTTCACACTGAGCTACATCTCCAATCCTTTTTATTTTATTTTCTTTACCTTTTTTTTTTGACATAGGGTTTTGTTATTATAGTTCAGTGTGGCCTTGAACACACTGTGTAGCCTAGGCTGGACTTGAATTTGTGGCAGTCCTTCTGCCTCAACCTCCCTCTCAAGTGCTGGGATTATAAGCGTACACTACCACACCCAGCTCTATTTTTTATTTTGAGACAGGACCTCACTAAATCACCAAATTGCTCAGGCTGCCTTGAATTAGTGATGGGGATTGTAGGCATGTGCCACCATGCCCCAACTCTGCCTCTGTCTCTTTAATTTTAATTTTGTTGCTGTCTGTTCGTTTGGTTTTTAGTTTTTGGTTCACGTTTTTTTGAGACAGGGTCTCACTCTACAGCCCAGGCTGGCCTCAAATTTATGGTGGTCCTCCTGCCACAGCCTCCCCAGTGCTGGGATTATAAGTGTGCACCACCATGTCCGGCCCTGAACTCACTATAGCCTAGAATGGCCACAAACGGAGGGCGATTCTCCTGCTTGCCCCTGTCTTTTTTAAAGTGCATGATGTTTCCAGATAATAAACTGGGATTGGGTTAATAAACCTGGCTTACAATAAGAATCATCTGGAAAGATTTTTTAAAACACAGCTAGGGGCCGGGCATGGCGGCGCATGTCTGTAATCCCAGCCCTCAGGAGGCTGAGGCAAGAGGATCGTTGCGAGTTCGAGGCCAGCCTGGGCTACAAAGAGAGCTCAAGGCCAGCCTGAGCTGCATATTGAGACCCTGTCTCAAAAAGACCAAAAAAAAAGGCAGCTGGGTTGATTCTAAATATTTGGACAGATTTGAAAATCACTGAAATAATATTGTTTGTAGAGGAGGAATCAGGGAAAATATAAAAAATATGAATAAACTGGACATGGTGGCGCACATCTGTAATGCCAGCACTTGGGAAGCTGAGGCAGGAAGATTGCTACAAATTCAAGGCCAGCCTGAACTATGCAGCAAAACCCTGTCAAAAAAAAAAAACAAAAAAACCATATATATATATATATATATATATATATAATGAGTGAATGAATTGGAGAGAATAACTCAGGCAGGGCTGGTATGGCTGAGAGGCATATCTTCCTCTAAAAATTTTATGAACATGAAAATTAGGCATATTTGCATGGAGAAACAAAGAAGAACCTATCTCTTTGCTTTCCAAATTCGGTGACTTTCTTTATATAAAGAAGGCTAAAAGGTTGAAGAGAGGGGAATGGGAAAAAAAGGATCAAGATCTATCATGTGCAGGTACAAATTCCCTACAGTGAATGTGATCAATGTGTATGACAGTAACTTCTCTGTGAATATGTTACTAAGTATATTTGTAAAACATTTTGGACATTTTTTTCTTTGTAAAAGTATTAGATTGCACAAATATAACCTCTTCCATATTGTTATGCTGTAATTTTTTTAAAAAAAATTTGAAAGAATTTTCCTGTTTTTAAACAAATAATTTACCTGTGTGTGTGTGTGTGTTGAGCACTCAGTGAATGGGTTAGCAGATTTAGTTTAGTGCCTCATAACCTCTCCACCTAAGGCTATTTGAGAATGAAAAACTTACATTACTTAGCTCTAATTTCTGAGGGTACGTAGGTTTTTGAAAGCCTTATCATTAACATATATTAAGTATTATATTACAAGTGCTCTGAAACATGTTCCATTTTCAGTGATGTTTTAGAATTGACCAGATGATGTCTTAATTAAAACACCAACTCTTGGCCAGGCATGGTGGCGCACGCATGTAATCCCAGTACTTGGGAGGCTGAGGCAGGAGGATCATTGCAAGTCTGAGACCAGCCTGGGCTACAAAGTGAGCTCAAGGCCATCCTGAACTGCATAGCAAGACCCTGCCTCAAAAAGACAGACAGACAGACAGACGGACAGACAGACAGACAGACAGACAGACAGACAAATAAATAAATAAATAAATAAAATAAGTAAAACACCAACTCTTAATTAAAGACAATACCATGGGTTCACCCTACTGCTGCTCATGGGGTCCAGTCTAGGATGCCACTGAGGGAAGATCAGCTTGGAAGTTCTTCTGTGTTTGGTGACTAAGTTTTGGTTTTGTTTTTAAGACAGGGTCTCACTGTGTAGTCCAGGCTGACCTCAAATTTGCAGCAATCCTCCTGCCTTGGCCTCCTGAATGCTGGGATTATAGGCATATGCCACCACCCCCAGCTCTAAGTTTTTAAAAATATGACTCTGGGTTACCATCAGATTTCCTATAAGAAAGTTAAAGTCACTGAGATGTAGGATGCCCTTGATTAAATCTTGCAAGAAGAGTCACTGTCCTGTGTCATCTCCATTTGTTGCACTTCAACCAGGACCTTATTTTGCCTAAGTCTTCTGCACCCAGCCAAGTAACACATCAGCAGGCTTCAATGCCATTAGTCTGATAGTAGAATTCTATAAATCTGACTATCAAAAAAAACCACAAAAAACCTGACTATCTGTACATGTCCCTAGACTTCCACTTATCAACTGAAGTAAGATTCAATTTGGCAACTATTTCTAAAACAGCATTCTTAGCCAAGCATGGTGCATACACCTGTAATCACAGCACTGGGGAGGCTGTAGCAGGAGGATCGTTGCAAGTTCGAGGCCAGCCTGGGCTACAGAGTAAGTTTAAGGCCAGCCTAAACTGCATAGCGAGACCCTATCTCAAAAAGACAAAAAGTGAATATAAATAAATAAATAAACAAGCATTCTTATTGTTTGTTTTCTTTTATGCAAAATAGCTATAGTACTAAGAGGATAATTTTTAGTGCATTTATTATACCTCCTGCTCACCCAAAAGGTGCCACTTGTTTCCAGTGTGAAATACAACGTGTGTTCCTTGATGCATTTCTATAAAGTAGAGGTTCCACTTTAATTCCAAGACAGTTGCTCCACATAACTCTTTTTTTCTTCCCCTCTAGACTTCTCCAGAGAGCCCTGGGACAGTAGGTGGAGTGCAAAGCTGTATTGTGTTGCCTTCCTGCTTTTTTTTTTCTTGTTATTGTTGCCTTCCTGCTTTTTTTCCCCTCTTTTCCCTACCCTGGCTGCTCCTTTCCCTGCTGCTAATGCTTACTAACTAAATCTTGCATGTGTTACCATTGTGAGGGGCTCATGGCCTATCTCATTTCAGTCCTGCACAGGTATCATGTCAATTATATTTCATGTCAGATTCTTCCTATCAAGCCAGGCATGGTGTTGTATCCCTGAAATCCCAGCTACTAGGCAGACTGAGGCAGGAGGATTATAAATTTGAGGCCAGCCTGGGCAATTTAGTGAGACCCTATCGATAAATGAAATAATAAAAAAGGGCTGGTAATATATCTTAGCCTTCCTTAGGTTCAACGGCTAGTAAATAATAATAATATAATAAAATCTTCTTAATAACAAGGTTGTTACTAAAGCAATACTATGATAGACAGACTAGAATCTCACCTCTTCTCACTTAAAAAGTGTCCCTTCATTTTAAAGCACCTCTGTCTAATGCCCCGCCCCCAGCCCTAGCACCTTCCAATGCTCCAAAACTACCTAGAGTCCTTTTTGTGAAAGGAGAAAAATCTGATAAACAGATATGTTAGTTGTTGTACTCCTCCCTGAACAATTACACTCGTCCACAGGGCAGAGAAGGGGTAATGTTTAACAGAGTGGAATTCCCTGCTTCAGTGGTGGTATTGGGAAGACATTCACATTTTGTGTGTGTGTGCCTTTGAAAGATTTTGACCTGGTTCTGATCATTTCACTGAAATTTTGTCCTAAAATGGTATCAGCTTGGTTTGGTTCCTTTAGTAATTCATCCATTATGGGTTTTGATATTTGATGTCTCTGTGATGTTAGGAGTCTGTCTGCATGGTTGTTCATCATTGCTCTGATCCTTTCCACCTACCACAGGAAGAAAGGGGAAGGGAGAGTTTAGAGATGATGCTGAAGTAATAAAATGAGCTGTTCTCTTACCTCTCTCTTCTACAAATAACAGAAGAAGCAGGCCACCCCATTGCAGACCCAGGCATGGTCATGGACAGCGTGGAAGCAGGTGACACAACGCCTCCCACCAAGAGAAAGAGCAAGTTCTCAGGCTTTGGCAAGATCTTCAAACCCTGGAAATGGAGGAAAAAAAAAAGTAGTGATAAATTTAAAGAGACATCAGAAGGTAAGACATTAAGACTTAAATACATGTACCAAGTTAGTTTCTTGGTGTTTGTTTGTTATTTTGGTTTTTTGAGAGAGTCTTGCTGTGTATTTCAGGCTGGCTTAGAACTCACTATGTAGTCCAGGCTGGCCTAGAACTCACAGTGATCCTTCTGCTGTTTTCTTGTCTTTTTTTTAGACAGGGTCTCGCTAGATAGTCTAGGCTGGCTTTTAACTCACTATGTAGTACAAGCTGACCTCAAACTGCCTCAGCCTCCCAAGTACTGCAATTACAGGCTTGCACCACCACGCCCAGCCATCTTTCAGATTTAAACACCCAAATGGTTATTCTCTGAACCTTATGTTCTATAGCCTCATTCCCAAGCGTATATTTTCATAGGATTAAAATCTGTTCAGTAACCAGGTAGGGTGGCACCCACCTAGAATCCCAGCAAGTCTAGAAGCCGAGGTAGGAGAATTGAAAGTTCAGAACCTGCCAGGGCAACTTAGTAACACCCTATGTCAAAAAAGTAATGTAGAGTTCAAAAGTACGTTAAAGTAAAACAGAATAAATTAGTAAAGTAAAATAAAATAAAGTCTCTAAGGATGTACCGCAGTGGTAGAGCACTTTCATAACATATGTAAGCCCTTAGATTAAATCCTCAGTACTGCAAAAACAAAACAAATCTCTGTAGTGGTAAGTGGAATTCCTGTACTGTTGTAGGTAAGGTGCTTCTACTTTTCTGCTTGGTCCATTTTCCATCAATACAGAGTTTATCCATAAGTTCCATAACTGTTGAAATTTCAGTTAAGCAGCAATTATCTAAAAATATTTATTTTTTAAAATGTTTTTTCCCAGTAGCACAGGATAAGAAAGAAATTGAGGCAGGTTTTTGTTCTTGTTTATAGTGCTGGGGGGGAACCCAGGGCCTCACAAGTGTTGGTCAGTTGCTGTACCACTGACTTATGCTCTCTGTCCCAGAAATTAAGTTTTTAAAGTTGAAGATAGTTTCCCAGTTTTTCCTAAGAATGGAACAATCCCAGCACTCAGGAGCCTGAGACAGGAGGATCGCCTCAAGCTCGGGGCCAGCTCAAACGACATAACAGGACCCCATCTCAAAAAAGAAAAAAAAGAACTTAAGAATAGAACAAATGTGAACCACTTTATTCTTTTACCTGTGTACCTACAGTGCTAAGAGTAATGTTTAACTTGCAACTGCCACATTTCTGAATGCTGTTTTCTAATTTAATGTTAGTTTTAGAGCGAAAAATATCTATGCGAAAACCAAGAGAAGAGCTGGTTAAAAGAGGAGTTTTGTTGGAAGACCCTGAGCAGGGTGAGTTGTAAATGACTACCGTGTGCCTGTCCATGCACTGGACCTTTGAGTGGGTCTAAATATGGGAAGTTTCTTTCTTTGCTTTGTTACTGCGGTAGTTGGGATAGAGACGGGCTTTTTAAAAAGCTCCCTCTCTTCCAGTTGTCTGGCTGTGTCTTTAACTGCAATTAAGTGAGAGTGAAGGGTCTCAGGGCAAACACCCTTGTTTCTCAGGAATACGTCCTCAGTTTTGTTCCAGCTCCAACAGTAGGTAGTACTTCCTTTTTATAGAATCAAAGTTGTCTCTGTGCCCGTATTGCTGCCCTCATCTTGTTTGTCACAAAGATTATGTTTTAATATTGTAACACTCATCACTGGCTTAATACTGTCATGACTTTATCTAATTTGTGGCTTTTTTTTCTTAATGTGTGACTTTCATGAAGGGGTTTAACATAAATATCAATTTAATGGTACTGGGGATGGACCCAGAGCCTTGCTCATGCTCAGTTACAGTTGAATTACACCCTGACCCTTCCTTCTTTTCTTAATAATAGAAAGTAGGCCAAGTGTGATGGCGCACGCCTGTAATCCTAGCACTCAGGAGGCTGAGGCAGGAGGATCATTGCAAGTTCAAGGCCAGCCTGGGCTACAAAATGAGCTCAAGACCAGCCTGAACTGCATAGTGAGACTGTCTCAAAAAGACAAATAATAATAATAATAATAATAATACAAAGTAGTTGCCACATTACTTTAGCATTTTTGAACCGGGAATCAAACTCAGGGCCTCGTGCTTGCCAGGCAGGTGCCATGCCGCTGAGCTATAACCCCTGCCCCGTCTTTAATTTTGTTGTTGTTGTTGTTTTGTCTTTTTGAGATGGGATCTCAGTATGCAGTTCAAGCTGGCCTTGGCCTCAAACTCACAATGATCCTTCTGCCTCAGCCTCCCAAGTGCTGAGATTACAGGAATGTGCCACCACGATTGGCTCCCTCTTTAGATTTAGATGTACATTACTCACTTGTTACTTATTTGCCTTAGACTCTTCACTACTTTCAGCTCAAACTCTAACCCTGATTGAGACCATCTGAGGAATGACACTGTGTAGCCTCCTCGTAGGAGGTGGTAATTCAAGTAAAAGGGATTGGTCTATGAGAACTCAATGGATGAACCTCCCTAGAACCCCAGGAGATGGTAACTACCTTAAGTAGTCCCTGCGGAAAGCAAAGGACAAGAGAAAAACTTCTGCCTATTCCCATGGCACTAGGATTGAGACAGAGTTTTTAGTCTCTAACCTTAGTGTTTTCAGTTGTCTCTTCCTAACGAGTCTAGGAACCCTCTGCAGGAGCTGGGGATGTTTGTCCAGTTTTGCTCCATGAAAGAATCTGACCATTTTCATGGCAATAGGTATTCATGACAGGTCTTCCTAGCCTTCTGTAGTCTAATTCGAGGAAAACTCATCCTGTTTACCTCATAATGTTTACCTCCGATCTGTTTATCAGTTCCGCCCATGTTCTTCATGCCTGCCCTCAATCACCCTCTGCTATTTCTTTGGTTTTGGTTTTAGTTTTTGGTTGGGTTGGGCGTGGCTTGGTTGCTTTGGGTTTTGAGATAGGGTCTCACTGTGTAGTTCAGGCTGGCACTAAATTCACAGCAGTACTCCTACCTTAGCCTCCCAAGTGCTGGGATTACAGGCGTGTACCACCATCCCCAGCTTCTCATATATATTTGAACAATAGTTCATTATTGTTTGTCTTGTTCGAATCACTTCCTGTCCATAATCCATTCTCCTCTCAGCTTTCAGAGCTGACCTTCTATAAGATGGATTGGATCATGTCTTCTTCTACTTCCTTTTTTTTGTCTTTTTGAGACAGGGTCTCGCTATGCAGTTCAGGTTGGCCTTGAGCTCACTTTGTAGCCCAGCTTGGTCTCGAACTCGCAATGATCCTTCTGCCTCAGCCTCCCGAGTGCTGGGATTACAGGCATGCATCACCACGCCCAACTCTTCTACTTTTATGTTTCCTTGTTTCATACAAGATTTAGTCCAGGTTCCTTTACATGCTATTTGATATCCTTCATAGCCTAGCTCTTGCTTATCTGTCCAGTCCTACCCATAATCATTACTTACATTGCATCTGTTGTCCTGCTGGACCAAATGTACCAGGCGTAGTGGCACACTCCTGTAATCCCAGCCCTCAGAAGGCTGAGACAGAAGGATTGCCATGAGTTCAAGGCTAGCCTGAACTACATAGTGAGTTCAAGGCCAGCCTGAACTATATAGCAAGACCCTGTCTCAAAAAAAAATATGTGTGTGTGTGTGTATCTTGACACTTTTTTTTAGTCCATAATGATTCTGTCTTATTTTTATAGCAAGGTAATTGGCATATAATAGGCAGTAAGATGTTTATTAGAAAAAGAAATTATTTTCATTATTACTAGAAAGTTCCAGGTGACCTAGGTCTAAAGATAAGCTAACACAGGAAGAGGAAGACGAGGATAAGAGTGGCTAGAATCACCAGCTCTTCTCCCTGTCTGATTATGCTGGTTCCTTCACTTAGCAGTTTCCTCTTTCTCCCTGTAGGTGGTGAGGACCCAGGAAAGTTGAATCATGCTGTATTGAAGAATGGCCATACCACCCCCATTGGGAATGCCCGATCTTCTAGTCCAGTCATAGTAGAGGAAGAGCCAGTAAGAACAGCAAATGTTAGGAATTCTATTCCAGAAGAAGACTCAAAGAAGCAACTAGGTAGGAAACTGGATTCTTGAGTTAGAGAAGCACGGACCAGTCATATTCATCCTTTCATCCTCTCCCTGTACCCACTCCCTGGTTTTGTTTTTGCTTTATTTGTTTGAGTTTGTAGGTTTTGGGGGGGTGTTTTTAATGGGTTTAGTTTTGTTTTGTTTTGTTTTTGAGACAGGCTCTCTATGTAGCCCAGGCTGGCCTACTCACTGCAATCCTGCCTCAGCCTTCTGAATGCTGGGATTACAGGTGTGCACCACCACACCGCACAATCATTCTCTTTAACTCAGAGGTTTGCCAGAGAACAAGGAACAATAAAACCCAAGGGGAGGGGGCTGGGGATTTAGCCCAGTGACACAGCGCCTGCCTGGCAAGCGCAAGGTCGTGAGTTCGATTCCCGGTACCGGAGTAAAACCAAAAAAAAAAAAAAAAACAACCCAAGGGAAACTTCATTTTCCTTTAGAAATTACCTAACTACCTGCAACTTTTAGTGGAATTTTCCTCCTCTTATTCTTACATTCATGAAATACTTAAATTTGGAGTTCTTAAGGAAAAAAGTGTCTGATTCTTCTGGGACTTTTTCAGGCTACATGTTTGTCTTTGTTTATCAAGAAATTTTGATGTCCTTCCACAAGTAGCCTGGCTCTGTGTAAAGGATTACTACCATCATGAGCTTCTGTTATTGTTTGTTTGTTTGTTTGTTTGCTTTCCTGTACCGGGAATCAAACTCACGACCTCACGCTTGCCAGGCAGACGCTGTGCTGCTGAGCTAAAACCCCAGCCCCGCATCATGAGCTTCTGATTGGTGTTTGTTAAGTATGTTGAGGGTGGGAAGCACACTAACATTACTACAGCCTGTAAGCTAACCTAGAAATGAAATAATTGATGAAATGGACCACAAATCCGTATTTCTCATGTTACTCTCTCTTCCTTTCCAGATCAGGTCTTTTATTACCCAGACTCAACTGGAAGGCAGCCTAATTCTGAAGCAGAGTCTCTTCCTGAGAATGTACCCAAACAGCCTCTGTTACCCCCAAAAAGACGCTTGTCCTCTTCTCACGAAGCAAGTGAGGGGCATGCAAAGGATGTCACTTCTTCTGGCAGCACAACAAGGCCCATCTCCACTTCTGCATCCTCTCCCACCATAGCACGAGCTGCCACCACTGCTGCCACAAACCTAACAAAGACTGTGAACTCCGTCATCGCTCCTTCCCCAGCACCCAGGACTCTGCCTGCTGCTCCTATCAGCACCAACACTACTGCTTCCCCAAACCTTACTCACACCATCCCTGCCAAACAGCCCCCTATCCCTCCCCCTAAGCCAGCTCACAGAAATAGCAACCCTGTTATTGGTAAGTGAATGTTCAGAGTCTCATGATTTTTCTTTTTTCTTTTATTTTGGGTGGTTATTTTATTGGATAACTGCCACAGTATTGATTTTGTGGTTTGTTTCTGGCTGGTTTGTTTCTTTGTTTCTTTGGGACAAGGTCTTGCTATGTAGTTTAGGCTGGCCTCAAACTTGTACCAGTCTTCCTGCCTCAGCCTCCCGAGTGCCGGGATTATGCAGTATTGATTTGATCTATGAAAGAGTTCCATATCTTTTCCCTTCTAATGTCCTCAATATAGAGAAGAGGTGTTAAAGTGAGGCATAGCAGGCATGGTTGTGCATATCTATCTATAATCCCAGCATTCAGGAGGCTGAAGCAAGAGGATTACCAAGAGTTTGAGGACAGCCTGTACTACATAGGGAGACCCTATCAAAAAAATAAAAAAATAAAAAAAATAAAATGCTGTACATACTTGGAAAACTGGGGAAGTAAAGACCATAACAGGTTCAACATACATGGAATTATCTGTGATACTTACTAAAAAAATTAGAAAAATGCCACAAGGTATAATAGGCAAGACAAACATTCCAACTAAAAAGTTTGTTTTGTTTATAATCTACTTTGAACTACCAGTTCCTTCTGTAAGCAACGTATAAGTAAGTCTAGTACTTAAGAAGATCATTTTATGGATGCCTGTGTAACTTGTGATTCAGTAGCTGGTATAGTATCTTCATGGGAACTGCAAAATATATTATTTAAATTGTCCTGATAAAATCATTTTTATCTTGGGAGGGTTAAGAATGTTACTCTTGTATTAAAATGAGTGGTGATAAAGAAAGCAGAGGAGGTAATCAGTACATTTTATGGGCTTAGTAAATTGTTTACATTTACTTAAAGTCTTGCTTAGGTCCATTTTCCTTTACCTAAATGCACGCTTGCAGCCAGGCATGGTGGCACACGCCTGTGATCCCAGCACTTAGTGGACTGAGGCAGGAGGATGACAGTGAGTTCCAGGCCAGCACAGGCTACACAGTGAGACCCTGTCTCTAAATTAAATAAATAAGTAAGTGAATGAGTGAGTGTACATTTTCTTAGAAGAATCTTCAAGGAAGGGAAGGCAGGAGGGAACCTAAATCAGTGCTTCAGAGCTAATAAAAATATAGTTTTCAAAAAAAATACTAGGTGTGCAGGGCTGGGGAGATAGCTCAGCAGCACAGTGCTTGCCTGGCAAGCACGAGGTCCTGAGTTTGACTCCTGGTTCAAACAAACAAAAAAAACAGTAGGTTTGCCACTGCTTAACATTCTTGTTATTGATTAAATGGATGGAAAAAGTGTGTTCTTGAAATACTTAATACTATATGACCAAGTTGGGTAGAGTGATTAGAACCTGGAAAAACAAGCTTAGAATATATTGTATGACAGGTTCGAGTAGCTTGATAAAAACAGGATGAACGTTGTTATTGTTACGATCACTTTGGGTAGATAAAGTCACACTGCCTTACCTCTAAGGAACTTGAGGAGCCTTCATATACTGCTTTTTTCAAAACTACCTTGTGCTGTAGGAGACCGATTTTATCTGGGACGTAGAGCAATTAGAACATGAAGATGTTGTGACTCATTCAGAGTTGCAGTAAGTGAGAGGCAGAAACTCACCTCTCAGGTCCAGACCTCTGTCTTCTCCTCTGCTGTTCTCAAACTGTTGTCTGGACTGGTGTTCATCAGCATCACCCAGAGGGTGTTTATTAAAACATGTCTTGCCAGCCTTGCCTGTAGAGTTTCGGCTTCCAGTACGTCCCGGGTAGCGGGAAGAACCTGTGTTCGCTAGGTCCCCACATAACAGCTGTGGTGCTCTTCCAGGGCCCGCTAGTTAAGACTCCTGTAGACCAGTGATGTTGCTCCCTTTCGGGTCAAGGCAACATATAACACAGTGTGTGTGTGACTCCCCAGGGTAAAATGCAGAAGCCGTTCCTGGCCTTCAGTGAGTGACCAGACCAAAGCAGTAGCCTTATGACTGAGTCGGTGTCAGCCCCTGGCAAGTTCTTAGCAAGAGAAAAATTAGTTCACAGAGATTTTATTAAAGTTACGTAGACTGATTTAAAGAATTATACCTTACTCGTCAATTATGACCATTCCTAATTCTTTGGTGCTAAAATGCCATTTCTTGGGGCTGGGGATATAGCTCAGCTGCGCAGCACCTGCCCAGCACCTGCCCGGCAAGCACTAGGTCCTGAGTTTGATTTCCGGTCCCCTACAAAAAAAATAAAATAAAATGCCATTTCTTTCACAAACGGATTATGGTCATAAATTATTTACTTAATATCAATCCTTATCTGGACATCTTTAAAAATGATAGCCTGGCTGGGGATATAGCTCAGTGGTGGAGTGCTTGGATAGCATGCTAGAGGCCCTGGGTTCAATCCCCAGTACTGCCAAAAATGATAACCTGAATTTAGTCAACAATTTTTTTGTTTTTTTGAGATAAAGTCTTACCTTGTAGCCTAGGCTGTCCTCAAATTTGTGACCCTCGTGCCTCAGCCTCCTAAGTGCTGAAGACTTGCGGAGGATACGGGGAATTGAAATCAGGGCCTGTGCTTACCAGGCAGGTGCTACACTACCGAGCTACATCCCTGGCCCCTGAAGAACTTTTTTTTTTTCATTGTATTTGTGTTTGAAATATGAACATTTGGAAAGCACTGCTTGAGAAATGCTACAGTCTTCTCATAGGCATAAAATGGAGTGTTAAGAATAAGGAAGGACTGCCATGCACAGCTGCACAGCTGCAGAAAATTTGTAATCCATCCCAGGAACCCGCTGGCATCTTTCTGAAGAACTAGATCAAAAGTTTAAATACTCAAATAAGGTCTTGTCAGGGGCAAATTGTTTGTTTTTTACTGTACTAGGGATTGAACTCAAGCCCTTTCCTGTCCTAGGCAAACACTCTACTGTTGAACTACATCTCCAGCCTTCAAGGATAAGTTCAGAGAAGTAGTAAGAATTTAGTCAACTCAAAAATATCTCTTTCAGTGCTGGGGATTTAGCTCAGCAGCACAGCACCTGCCTGGCAAGCATGAGGTCGTGAGTTTGATTCTTGGTACCAAAAAAAAAAAAAAAAAGTCATTCATTCTGAAATTCATAAAAATCTTTTTTATCTTATATCCAGTGTTTTTCTAGAATGTTCTTATTGAAATTTACTTATGGGCTGGGGATGTAGCTTAGTTTTAGAATGCTTGACTAGCATGAGCAAGGCCCTGGGTTTGATCCTAAGTAGTAACAAAAACAAAAAATAGGACTAGAAGTGTGTCTTAGTGGTAGGGTACTGCAGTACTGAGAAAAAAAATTTTAGTTAAATCTTTTACTTTGAGTGGCCCCAATGGAATAGTATTTATGGCAAATAATGTTTTATTGCAGGGAACCTTATGAAACCCATTTAAGAATACTTGAAGGAACTAAAATAATTTGGCTAGGTGATTAGAATTGTCAGCCAGGTGTGGTAGTACACACCTGTAACCCCAACACTTAGGAGGCTGAGGCAGGAGGATCACTGCAAATTTGAGGCCACTCTAGGCTACAAAGAGAGTTCAAGCCAACCTGAACTGCATAGTGAAATCCTTTCTCAAACTGACAAAATAAAAAAGAATTTAAGATACCTTGTCAGGCATGGTGGTGCCTGCCTGTAATCCTAGCACTCAGGACGCTGAGGCATGATGAGCACTACAAGTTCGAGGCCAGCCTGAGCTACATAGTGAGCTCACAACCAGCCTGAATGACATAGCAGAATACCCTGTCTTAAAAGGCAGGGCAGGGATATAGCTCAGCGGCATAAGCACCTTCCTGGCAAGTGCAAGGGCCTGAGTTCAATTCCCAGTACCATTAAAAAAAAAACAACTATTAAAAGAATTTAAAATGTCTTTACTGGTAGTTCTATAATAGAGCTGAGATATCTAATTATCATTATCAGAATATGACAGGAATGCCCAGTAGTGCTGTTTTAGTTTCTATCTGAATATTTAAATTTCCTAATGGAGTATTGTTACCCATAACTTTTTATCAACTCTTTTTCTGTCTCTGTTTATATTAACTTTATACCAACATCGTTAAAAAGTTGTATCTAGAAGTATGGTACTCATCAGAGCTTTGCTATACATACGTTCATTGGTGTTCTACTTGCATAAATACATATTTTGTTTCAGGAATGAGAGAGGTAAGAAATGGCAAAGTCATGAAAGTAAGGGCCAGGGATATAGATCATTGACACAGCGCCTGCCTGGCAAGTGCAAAGTCCTGAGTTCGATTTTTGGTACCAAAAGAAAAGTATATAATCTACCTAAAAGATCAAAACTGAGCTCTAATTTTAGGCCTGGGCTTGCCCTCAAAGCATTGTAAAGCTGTGTTAAATGGATGTGTCATTCTCTTTTTTTCTAGCTGAACTGTCCCAAGCAATAAACAGTGGTACATTATCAAAACCATCCCCACCCTTACCACCGAAGAGAGGCATTCCAACAACCCTGGTACCCACCTCGGAATCTGCTGCCGCCTTCACCACAAAAACACCAAGTGATCAAAGAGAGAAGGGCATGTGCTCTGTGGGCTGTGAACTACTGCCGACGACGATCCCACCTCCTTCCCCATCCCCACCGCTGCCTACTCACAGACCTCCCGAACCTCCACGGTCCCCTCCGTTCCCTGCTAAGACTTTGCAAGTTGTGCCACAAGTTGAGTTTCTGCCTTCCTTAGATCTGCCCCAGGAGGTTCCCCAGCAGGAAGACCAGAAAAAGGAAGTCCCTAAGAGGATTCTGGACCAGAGCTTTGGGGAGCCCCACATACCCGCAAGGCTACCCCTGCTCCCTCTACATGTTCGAATTCAGCAGGCCCTGACCAGCCCCCTTCCTGTGACTCCTCCCTTGGAGGGCTCTCACAGAGCTCATTCATTGCTCTTTGAGAATAGTGACAGCTTTTACGAGGACAGCGGTACCCTGGGTCGGACCAGGTCACTTCCCATCACTATTGAAATGCTGAAAGTGTGAGTGCCTTTAAAGCTTGCCTCTTATTTTTCTGTCTTTACTTTAGGTAGCCCAGAAAAAAATTACTTATAAAAAGAAAATGTGAATAAATTTAAAGTAAAAGAGTATTCTGCCAAAAGGATCAGTTATAGAATCAGACTTTTAAAAAAAATCCTGATGATTACTTTTTTTGTTTTAAAGAGAAAAAAACCCCGAAAATTTCAAAACAGGATAATAGGAGGGTAACTATGGTTAACACATTGCGTATTGTTATCTTTAGCTTAGTTATTCAGAGTACAGGATATAGACTTTAATTGTCCAAACAATATTAGCACAAACCTTTCTTCTCAGTGAACTAAGAGAAATTAGTAGTATAACTGTCTTATCTTTTATATATATACATACATGTATATATGTGTGTGTGTGTATACATATATATATTCTTTTTTTTTTCGCTTTTCCCTTCCTTCTTTTCTCTTTTCCCTTACCCCAGTTTCTCTTTCCTTTTGAACAGTTTCTTCTCATTTTACAATATCTATTGTACATTTGGATCTTATTTACTCTGTCAGCTTCTCACACTAGCGAGACAATATGATGTTTGCTCATGTGCGTCTGGTTTATTTCACTTACGAGTATGGTCTCAAGTTGCATCCACTTACCTATAAAAGACTCTAGCTTATCCTTTTGTATGGCTGAGTAGTACTTCACTGCATAAAAAGACCACATCTTTTTTATCCATTCCTTGGCTGATGGGCATTTGGGTCATTTCCAAGATCTAGCTATTACAAATTGTGCTGCTGTAAAACATGAGTGCACATATATTGCTGTGGCATGCTGTTTTTAATTCTTCTGGGAAGGGGCTGGGGATATAGGTCAGTAGCACAAGCATCTGCCTGGCAAGTGTAAGGTCCTGAGTTTAATTCCTGATCCCCACCCCCCCCAAAAAAACCCCAAACAAACCAGTAATTCTTTTGGGAAGATACCCAGCAGGAGAATAGCTGAGTCAAACGGGATCTCTAATCCTAGCTTTTTGAGGAATCTCCACATTGATGTCCACAGTGGTTGTACCAGTCTACACTTCACAAACAGTGGAGAAGGGTTCCTTTTTCTCCACAGCCCTGCCAGCATTTTTTATTGGTTGATTTCTTGGTAACAGCCCTCCTTTCCAGGGTGGATGGAATCTCAGTGTTATTTTAATTTGCATCTCTCGAACGACCAGTGATGTTGAACATTTTTTCCTATATTTACTTGCTGTTTGTATTTCTTCATCTGAGAATTGTGTATTCATCGCAGAAGCCCATTTCTGGATTGAGTCTTTAAATTTGGGAGTTCTGATATTTTTGAGTTCTTTCATATGCTCTCAGTTGTAGTCCTTTGTTTGAAGAACAGCTGAGAAAGTTTTTCTCGTCTCCGCACTCCATTGGTGGCTTCTGTCCCTGTGCAGAAGCTTTTTTAATAAGATGAGATCCCGGCTGTTGGCTCTTTGTGATAGTTCCTGTGTGATCAGGGTTTTATTCATGAAGTCTTTGCCTACACCAATTTCTTCAAGAGTTTTACCTATTCTGTCTTCCAGCAGATTTAATGTATTTGTTTTAATGTTTAGATCTTTGATCTATTTAGAATTTATTTTAGTGCGTGATAGAAGATATGGGTCCAGTTTTAATCTT